CGAGCTCCCCGATTCTGTGAAGCCTTCGAGTACGCCCAACGTACAGAGCTGGTACGCGCCGCGTACTCCGGAGGGTTGACTTTCGTTGACTTTTAGGGTTTAGTCAACATTTGGACCTTTGGGCCATTGGAGGGGTAAAATGGTCTTTTACCCTTCTGAGAGAATATAGGGAGGGACTAGTCTAGCCTTTGAGAGCCGTATTAATTAGAGATAATTATTTTATGTGATTAGGCGGAGGCTAGATCAGTATTTTGAGTTCGAGATTATCCGAGTTACCCGAGGTGAGTCTTCTCACTATACATTACCTAGAGTGGTATCTATGTGCAGACCGGAGGGTCTTATGAGTTCTGTGTATGTTTGAGTTTATGTGCATTGTGATATATGTATGCTATGTGTTATATAGACCGGACCAGAGGGTCCAACGATTTAGACCGGACCGGAGGGTCCAACGATTTAGACCGGACCGGAGGGTCCAACGAGCTAGACCGGACTAGAGGGTCCAACGAGCTACGGGACTGGAGGGTCCCGCTGAGACACATTGACCGGAAGGTCATACCGAGTTATAGCCTCGAGTGGCTTATGTGCTGTATGTGGTATTTTGGGGAACTCACTAAGCATTTATGCTTACCGTGTTATGTGATATGTGTTTCAGGTACCAACGAGGATCGCGGGAAGGCGCCGACATGATTTGTACACATTGACAGAGGATGATGTTTTTGAGATTCTGGGATATGTTTTATTGTGATGACAGTTGATACATATGAGATTTTGAGAATATTATATGAGCTTTATTATGTTTGAAAAATGAAAAATTGTTTTAAAAATTACGTCGTTACATATCTAGTCCTAAATGACACTCCAAACCATAAAGTTTCTAACTTTATGGTTCTACATGTCTAAATCAAACCCAACAATAAAACCCTAACTATTCTCAATCACTAAAGCTCTTAATAACTTGCATGAGGGAAACCAAGAGGCCAAGATCACATTTTTATAACTTAAGACATGGAAAAGCGTTCAAAAGGACAACCCATACGTTCTATAGCATGCCAAGAACAAGAAAGTCATAACTTGGGGACAAAAGCTCATAATATCATCATATAACAATATCTATCAAGTTAACCACCAAGGTATGAACTTTATAACTTATGGAGGTTGAGGATAATGCAAGACTTCCAGATCCAAGCTTTGCTTCTAGCTCCCAAGCTTCACCACCACCTTCTTCTTCATTTGAAACACACAAAAACACACTCTCAAGCTTCAAAATGCAACAATGGGGCTAAGGTTTACAAGGGGGATGTTTCTAGTGATGAAGGCTGGAAATCGGATGGGGAAATGGGACTTAAGGTTCAATATATATGGTCTAAACCCTAAAGAATAGAGTTTATGTCCAGATGGAGTACGCCCAATGTACTCCCCAAAACGTTGTCGTTTAACAATAAGCCCTGTACGCCCGGCGTACCAGCCAGGTACGCCCAGCGTAAGGGCTAAAGTTGCACAATTTGAAATTTAAAGGGTTAGAAGGGAACTTACCAGGACTCGAGTGTAACACCTTAACTTTCAAACTTGTAATTGAACCTGTATTATATAGATTAAGCTACAATGTACGAGCGCTAATTATAATCATCACCGTGACATTACACTTTTCGTTTTGACTTTAGATTTAGGAATAAAAGGATATGTATAGCTTATTTTGAAAATTGTTGAATTATTCTTGGAAGTTGTTGATATTGGATTTAGTTACTTTTGAAATGTTTTATTCCCTAACTATTAACATGATGGTAACTTTGATATGTTTTGCTTTTTTACGGGGTTTAAGTATAGAATTGGATTGTTGGTCTTATATAATATTTTTAAGAGTTAACATCGGGAATACTATGGGGTTTTCCAAACTTAACCTATGTATTTTGATATGTATTCTGATTTATAGACTTAGTCAAGACTAAAGATAAATTTTAGTTTTTAGATATTTAGACAACATTGTAATTTATATTTAAATGTATATAAGGTGTTTACGTACCATTGTTTATGATTATTTTATTACATCCTTTTGTGCCGTGATAAATTTAAATGTTAAGGACTTGATCGTTTGAGACATTTTTCTAATGAAATATTGACCTAAAAATAACTGTTTCCAAAATACTTAATTTTTTATTTTAGAAGAATATGCAAATAATTCATACGATGGATGTTTTAGTATAATACTAAATTTGATGTTATACTAATTCTTTACACTAAAATTGTGCGAGAAATGAGATGGGGTTGAAGATAATGAAATATAAATAGAACGAAAAACAGAATTAAATTCGGTTTGAAAATATCATGTTTGTGTTGGATCGATTAGTTATATTAAAATATTTCACTTCCCCACCAAACTTTGGCTTTTTGAGCTAAATTTACAAATTATAAACATTTTAATTCTTTCATATATGCGCTTCACAATTCTAGTTCAGCCCGAGAAGCAGCGCCACTATCCATACAATCTTTCTTTTGAAGTTCTTATTTTTTTTCACCCTTGTTTCTTTTTTCTTTCCGCATTCCAAAACATATCACTATCTTTGTAGAGTTTAGTAATAGTAATAGTTACCATTCTACTGTTACGATGATATATGGTAAAGACCTTGTACAGACAAAATTGTTGGACACTAATATATTAGCATACAGTGGGAAAGAAACAGTTTCATGACTCCGAATTATACAAACAATTTTGGATAATATAAGGCTCGAGGGAGTGGTGCCACCGAAAGCGCACTCCCTCCCCCACCACATAAGCGCCATGTCATTTTTTACCACACAAGTGTGGTTTCTTGCCACACCAAGGGGGTGGTGCCACACTTTTATTTTCTTTTTTTTTTGTTTTTTTTGTTAACTATTTTAATTTAATAAAACTTATTTTTTTAATAAAAAAAACATAATTTTAAAAAGATAATATTTTATTAATTAAAAATACAAATATCATACATTACTTAACTTAAAAAAAAACCTAAAAATTTAGAAAAACAAATTAGAAACATAAAACCTACAACCTAAAAACACACACACACACACACACACCAAACGATTAAAAACTTGAAAAAAAAACTAGAAATTAGCCACGATTGATGTAACGTTTTTTCACTTCCTCCTTCATCGCCAAAACCACTTCAAGCTCGGCCCCGGTCATATTCGACGTGTCCGTCGATAGTATTCGCATGTCGCTCTCCCTTTGTTTCCGAAGCTCTCTTTCAGAAACAATTTGCAAAATCTTGTCCATTCTGTCTTTTATACCCTTCATGTCGGCTCCCATTTCTTTCAAATCATCTGAATCCGACGCTTTGCCTTTGCCTTTGCTTTTTGCTTTGTCTCTTCCCATTGGTCGGGAAGGTGGTGAAACTGGAACAGGTTCATCTTCGTTCAGATCAAATTGAACACGAGCATCTGATGTAGTGTGGTTGGACTCAGATGTTCTGCTGCGTTTTGAACCACTGTCGATATGCTCGTCTGATGTTTTGCTACTCAGCCATTTCTGTTATCTTTCAAAAAATTCCAAACTTCAAGAAACTTGAAAGCCTTCAGATTTTCTTTTTGATACACTTTCAACGCTTTCTTTAAAATCACTTTATCGCTTTCTCCACTTTTCCATTGACGTTTCATGTTGTTCCACAAGTCATTAAACAACATGACTTCCTTGTCCATCTTCCCCCATTTGGAGTACACTTGATGTTTTGAACGGTATTCTCCACGGTTCATTCCTTTATGGAACCTGTGTAAAATGCGAATCCAAAAGCGGTCATGCTTTTGGTCTTTTCCAACCGTCGCATCTTCTGAAATATCGATCCAAGATTGTGCCAACACTAACGCTTCCAAAGGTTCCCAACATCTAGCCTCCGCCTTCTCTTTTCTTTTAGTTGCTGCTCGAGTGGGCTGAGTTTCTGTAACGAATTCCGATTCAGAATCAGAAACGACCGTTTCTGGTTGTGTTTGTGTTTGTTGAACAAACTCGGGTTGAGACAAAAAATCAAATGGATTAAAATCCGGGTCGGGTTGTGGTAGTGGTGGTGTTTGTGGTAGTGGTTGCGCTGGTCGTTGTGGAAAATACGGAAGCATACCGCCGTAGTGGTAAAACGGAGGTGAAAAAATCGGTTGATCAAATGAAGGTATTGGGGTGTTGGTGTTTCTGACTGGTGTTTTTTCTTTGCTAGGCCTTTTGGAAGAAGACATTTTTTCAAAAAAAATTGGATGAAAAGATTGTGTAAATATTTGTTTAAAGTTGGAGTGAAGGTGGTGAAATAGTTAAAATGGTAACATATATATATATATATATATATATATATATATATATATATATATATATATATATATGGAGTAATGGTTAAAAAAAAAATAAAAATTACACGAATCTTCAACGGTCAAAATTGGGAAAAGGAGCAACCAATCACCATTCGCGATCTTGTATGGCCGCACTGCGGTCTTGGCCGCACGAAACCGTGCCCTGGGGTCGGTGTTCGCGGTCCACGTGTCATCCTCGCGGTTCGAAACCGCACCCACACCGTGCAGCCTAATATGACATTTTTTTAATCTTTAAGTAACAAAAATTGTGGAAGGAAAAAGTTAGAGGTAACTTTAGAATATGGTCCGGCCAGTGGACCATGGAAATGATATGGTTTAATGCGAGGAGGGCGAAAGTAAATTATGAAGACATGGCAAAGTCCAAAAGACCAAAACCATCATCACATTGCCAACCATGACCAACTTTTGACTTTGTTAAAATAAAATTTAATATGTTAATTATATTTATATATATATTTTTAATTAGATATTTTTCAACAATATATCATTATATAACTATATCATTATTAGTTATTATAATTCATCAAACAGTTATCCCATAAAACAAATGCTGTAATGAGTGGGTGGTGCTCAAAATTATAACCTGGATCTGGAAGGGTCCAATATGTAATATGAGGTCTATTGCGGGAGTCTAAGTGTAAATTGTATTGTTGTTGGCTTGCTGCAGTTTAGTTAAACCCTAGTTTGTCTCTCTTCTTCCCTAAACCTCAGAGTCAGAGGCTGTAGAGGGGTAGCCGGAGGTCTCACAGCAATGGCGGCATTTGACCATGTTCAAAATATGTATGACGTCGCTTTAAAACCTAGACTTCTTCGTTCGTTTATCAAAGAACTTATCCCCGACGAGAAACAACAGTTGGGAAATCCATTAGAGCTCTCACAAGTTGTCTCCGCTATCAAAACTCACGGCCTGCTGTCCGAGCGCGTTGCGCAAACTGATGATAACAAGAAATTGATTGAAAAATGGAAATCCGCCGTTGATTTGTGGGTTGATCGCTTGCTAATGCTAGTCTCTAGCAACATGGTAAGTTTTACTTCAACCTGCAATAGAAACTATTTTTTCAATATAGGAATTCTTCCATATGCCCTTCCAGAATCAGCCATCCTTATCAGAATTCAACCGAGATTCCCTTCGTTCCACAAAACAAGGATAATGGATAAAATATATATAGGGTTTACTTTGTAAATCACTGAAAACTTATTTCCCCCCAGGAAATCGCTTCCTCTGATCATTGGACATCTTCAATGCTGCATTAGTTATAATTTGTATAAGATAATGATATATCGTGGGTGAAGTTCAATATAAATGCATGGAAATTAAGCTAAATAGAATTGGTTTGAATTTGAAACAATACTGTAGAGTTATTATTGATATCTCGATCTGTAAACGGGGGCATCAGCATTCAGCAACCTATAACACGATATAAATTGTTCTTATAAGATACGTAAACCATTTGTTTCATTTATTTTGGGACAAAACTAAAAGTGATTTAACCAATATGTGTGGTGTAGCCAGATAAATGTTGGGCTGGAATATGTTTGTTAGGGGTGACTTTTGAAGAATGCAGTTCTGAACGATTCCTCGCATCTTACTCTGTTTGGTTTCAAAAGTTGCTTTCACATCTTCAGGTAATTAGACTTTATTTTGCTCTTACATATTAATGAATATTTGTGTTTACGGGTGGTTTTAATGTCAGTGTATGGGATCAACATTGTATCAGAAAATTATATTATTTGACCAACTCTGGAAAATGTAGTTAAAAACAATATGAAATAGAGTTGATTTTGTTGATGTCTATAGAAACAGAAACCTTTGTTATTGGAATATTGGATCTGACAAATATTTGAATCTTGCATTTAAATCAGCCTCCTGCAGAATCTCACTTTGTGAAGGTTTCTTGTTGTGTCTCACTATCGGATCTTCTTACAAGGTATATCCGTAATTTCATTTACCAAAACTGCAAACATGTGCATGGTGACAAAATTGCCCTCATAAATTCTGATTCTTTTTGAACATTTCTTTTCAAATTGACATATTTGCACATAATACAGGGTGAGGCCAACACATGCTTATTATTTTAATTTTCAATAGAAACTGTAAATGCATAATAATTATTTTAACTTTTAACACACTTAATCAATTAAACATATCATAAAATTGACATAATTTTGTTTTTTTGTTATGTTCGTTTTTTTTTCTCGGTTTTTATATATAAGAAATCAAACCCAACTGAAAATTTTGTTTTGTTTTTTCATAAAAACCAAAAGACAAACCTTTGGTTTTTCGGTTTCATTTTTTTTTTGTATTTTTATAGAAAATATCATTTTTTTAGGTATTGCTGGATTTCTTGTGATTGACAAAAAATTATATAGAAAGTATCTTTTTTGAGCTATATAGAAAATATTCTTTTTGAGGACATTTTCTATATAATTTCAAACCCTGATGATTCCATTTTATAAGGTATGCCGGAGGCCTTGTAATTGAAGGAAATATGAAGTTGGTGTTTAATAGGGGTGTTCAAAAAAACCGAAACCATACCAAAAAATGGAAAAAAAAAAAAAATCAGAAAAGCAAACCTTTTCTGAAAAACCAATGGTTTGGTTTTTCTTTTTTATTAAAAACCAATTTTTTCAGTTCAGTTTAGGTTTTAGTCAAAAAACGGACCATTCTCACCCATACTAGTTAACAAACTATTTTACATGGTCAGAAGTTACGTTATAGTTTGAAAAAATATTTTTTCCTAAAAGATAACGCGTTTTGAAAAGTTCTTTTAATACGGATGGTTTTTCTGAAAGCTTTTACAAATATAAGTGGCTTTTCCGAAAACTTTTACAAGAAATATTAGTGGTTTTTCTGAAAGAAAAATTAAAGTAGTGGCTTTTCAGATTAGCTGTTTTTTCTGAAAATTTCCTTTTGATTAATAAGATTGTAACTAACCAAAATTGTTTTAATGTTTTAGTTGGTCATCAAATGTGTCGCATCATTTGTCTGTGTTACTTACATCACATCAAATCTTTTTCTTAAAAGTTACTAAGGCTGGGTATCAAAAATGGAAAAACTTACAATTTTATAAACTCATAGACTAGAGAGATGCCTAGAGTAAAAAAAAAAAAAAATTTAAATCTCATCTGATAAATTTAGTAAATCCAAATCTCATCACTAGTCAAACCGTTACAAGGAACTTAGTCAAACCGTTACAAAAAATTTAGTCAAACCGTTATAACTTATAAATATAATAAACAATTTACATTGTCTCAAATATAAATATAAAAGATCTGATAATTGTCCCTGTTTACTACTAGATTGGGTGGGTTTCCAAATATGAAGAAAGATGGAACTTCACATGCTGCAAAACTTGTTCAGCCAGTTCTAAAGCTGATACAGGAGGATAGCTCAGATGCTGTATGTGTTTTTTGGTACTAGTAATACCATGTTCAGATTTATTTTTAATTTTTTAATTTTTATATTTCCTTTTACTTATACCCGATTTGATTGTTTGTTTCTGCAGGAAGGTGCTGTTCGTCTGTTATGCACCATTTTGAATTTCTTCCCATCTTCTCTCCAAAAGAATTATGATTCTGTAAGTTATCTGGTTCTTGCTTAATTTTTATAGAAATTGAGCCACATATATTAAAAAAATTGTTTTGCAGGCTGAAGCAGCTATTGTCACAAAGCTTATCTATGGGAAATGCAATCCTAATATGCTGAAGGTTTGACCATTCTCTCTGTCCTTTGACTAGTCAATGGGTTGATTACCAGTGACACTCACACCTAACTTTTTTCCTTGACCAGAAACTTGCTCTTTGCTTGTCTTTACTTCCCAAATCAAAAGGCGATGAAGATACCTGGTCTTTAATGATTCAGAAGATCTTACTAGCTATAAACATCCTTCTGAATGATTCATTTCAAGGCTTAGAAGAAGGTAAGTCAACACATACACATACACATACACATACACAGGGTTATTTTGGTAACTTTCTAATTACTTACATGGTAATTAATGGTATAATATAATACTTGTTTGACTGCAGAAAGTAAAACAAGTGAAACCATGCGAGCGTTAGTCCCTCCAGGAAAAGACCCTCCTGCCCCTCTTGGAGGCCTCACAGTATTTGACCTTTCTAACAAGTCAACAGAACGACTCTCTATCACTAATATATCTACACTCATGCTTTGCTGTTCCACAATGCTTACAACTTCCTACCCTGTTCGGGTATCTTTAACCTTTCATATATGTTTGTTATGATGTCCCTTAAGTAAAATTATTTAAAAAGTTTCTAACTTTTTTTAAAAAAAAAAAAATCATAGGTTAAGGTTCCCATTAAGCCATTATTAATGGTAGTTGAAAGAGTACTGAATGTAGATGGTTCCTTGCCACAAACCATGTACCCAACTCTCACTGCAATGCAACAAGAATATATTTGCACTCAACTTCCTGTTCTACATTCATATAGCCTGGAAATTTTATGTGATATTATAAAGGAAGCACGCAGGTAAATATTTATATTTTTTGAATCATTTTGGATGCGTTGTAAATTGTAATAAATATATAATTTCTAATCATTATTTGTTTTTGTTTTTTCAGTCAACTGTTGCCACACACTGCGCATATTATCCGACTTGTGACAGAATATCTCAGAAGGTGTGAATTACCTGAACTTAGGATAAAACTTTATGGCCTCATAAAAATGATGCTGATGTCCATGGGGGTTGGTATGCTTTTAACTCTTTTTTTTTTTCTTGCTTAGTAATATAAAAAATCTTTTTATGATATAAAATTATAAACTAAATGGTTGGTGTTGAGCAGGGATGACAATATATCTAGCTGAAGATGTCATAAGCAATGCTTCCATTGACTTGGATTCAACCCGTGTTCATGGTGGTGAAGCACAGCCTATGAACAAGAAAAGGAAGCACGAAAATGCAATTTCATTTCTTGAAAATCAATCTCAAATTATTTATTCCCCCAAAAACCACGTTCCAGTTTCTGTGAAGATTGCTGCACTTGGGGCACTAGAAACACTTCTAACTGTGGTATGTTTTTGGTTTTCTTCATGAATTACTTTTGATTTAAAATTTAATTGATTTGATTTTTTGCAGGGAGGGGCGTTGAGATCTGAGAGTTGGAGGTCAAATGTAGACCAGCTTCTTATCACTGTAGCTACAGATGCTTGTAAAAACGGATGGGCAAAAGAAGCAAATGACGTTTATACCCCTAGTTGGGGTGATTTTCAGCTTGCTTCTTTAAGGGCGCTTTTGGCATCTCTTCTTTCCCCTGGACGTTTTCGCCCTGCGTATCTGGCCCAGGGTCTCGAGCTTTTTCGTGGAGGTGCTCAATAAAATATTAAACCTAATTTAATTTATAGTCTTTGTTATCAAAGTTCAATTTTTTATTTATTTTTATATATAAATTGTAAATTGCTGTATGCAGGCATGCAAGAAACGGGAACGAAACTTGCAGAGTTTTGTGCACATGCGTTATTGAGTTTGGAAGTTTTGATACATCCGAGGGCCCTACCCTTGATAGATATTGGATCTTCTGTTGAATACCCTGTTAATGTTAATGGAATGAAAGATAAGTTCATGAAGAACAACATATATTCCAGTGGTGTTACAGTTACAGGTGGCACCTCCAGAAATGAAGCTGAGTCAGAAGAGGATGATCTGTATGAAAAATGGGTAAAAGATGGTGAAAATGAGATAGAAAAGAACACAACAGAAAATGCGGTTTCCATTGAGGCAACAATAAATGTTCCTGAAGATAAAGGAAAGGGAATTTTGGTAGAGACACAGTCGGTTGAAGAAACGGCATTGAAGAACATGGAAACTGAGGTGGAGGTGGCGGTGGCCAAGGGTGTTTCTGGTGGTGGTGCCGCCAATGATGTGGTGGGAAGAAGGTTTGAAACGGTGGGTGGTTCAGAGGGAGGTGGGGAGTTTGTGTTTGCGTTAGGTGATAATGACAATGAGGATGCAGCAATGGATGAGATTCCTGATATTGTAGATGTGGAACCGGATTCTGATGAGGAATAACAGAATTATGGTTTGGAAATTTTGATAGAGGTAACGTTTTAAATATAATGATATGTTGCAAACGCATAAAAAAAAAAGAAGATGAATTTGTAGAGTAATCTGGTCAAAGTTGTATGTGGTTTTGGATGGTTATTTTTGGTTATGGAGTAGGATTAAAGTTTTATTTGATTGCAAATAACAATGAGGTAAAAGTCAAAACTAATGGTTTTTATTTTATTTTATGATATCATGGTATAAGAACAGTATGTGCTTTTAGAGGTTATTCAGATACTTAAAAGAATACTACTGAAACTGTATCATATATAGAATACATTACACATTCAAATACAATAGGATATATCGGACTTTTTAATTTTTAATGCGTAGCAAGTGTAATAAATGTGACAGAAGTAAACATATTTTCTGGAGATTTCTGTATTAAGAACCAAGGCCCAAGTGTTTGTGAGTTGTGACTTGTGACAATCAAATAAATTTGGCATATAGTTGAATAAATGGAAGAAAGCCTTTTGAGCTCTAAGGCCATCTCCAATGGTAGTTTAATGGGGAGTTTAATCCCATTAAACTCATAATCCTCATTATGGGTTAATGATATGACACTCAATTGAATTGAAAGGGGAGTTCAATACCCATTGAACTCTACACTCTCTCTCCACACATACACATATAAATGATGTGACATTCCATTAAATTGTATGGAGTTTAATGGAGTGTAGAGTTTAATAGGTAAAATTGTATAGTAAGTGGAATGTACATGGGCAGTTCATTGAACTCATATGAGTTCAATGTATTGGGGATGGCCTAATCCCAATTTGGTCTGTGAAAGTGAAAGTGAAAGTACACTCGTATTACATTGCATCAAACTAAATGTCATATCACATCATTTTAACAATATATGTATGTATATCTTTTCTCTACAAATTCATATATTTGAAAAGTTTATAATTAACTTAATATTGTATTTGAAACTAATAATACATTTTTTGCTGAACGGTTCTATTTTATTATCTATCTTAGAGATATTTTGAATAACATGCTGAGAGGACTTTGCTAGGAGATTTTAGAACATGGTATCACCTTAAGCTTAAGAATGAGATGTCAAGGTTACCTTGAGTTTAATCCCATGATTTACTTTGATGTTCAAGATAGAATTGATTTGAAAGAGATGGTAGAGAGCATAAATCGAGAGTATCATAAGATCTTTCTTGGTTGTGTGATATTACACAAAGTCTCTAAGATTTGGTCACACTTAGGGCTAGGGGTGAACATTTGACCTCCAGACCGGAAACTGGACTTGGACCTGGACCTGGTAAGGCTTAATAGGTCCAATCCAAAGTCCATGATTTTTGTAAAACCGGTCCGATTCAAAAGTCGGTCCGCTCCGATCCAAAGGCTCACCCCTAATCACACTCCATCACCCCATGTCCGCCACTCCATAACCACATCATTCTTCACTCTCTATCATGCGTATATACTAGTATTTGAGTCTTCGTTTTGTCGCGAGTTCTTACATGTTTTTTTCACATTAGGAATGACAATTGATTAAATCAGCATACTATATCACATATAAGATGTAAAAAGTATTAAAAAAACTAAGTACCAAATTTTTTTTTGATTAAATGTTGGACAAAAACAATAAAAGGCGTTTAAAATTAGGAAAAAAATGTCAATGTTTGGACAAAAAAACGAAGAAGAAAATCTTATTGTTAAAAATTGTAAATAATACAAAATATTTTGTCGGATTTTGATTTGTGGCAGAATTAGTCCGTAAAACAATAAGTATATTTTTTTCTCGAAAAATCCAAGTTTTAAAATTATTTTGTTGTATGATAATGAGCTACAAAAACAACAAAAATATTAAGATAATAAGTGTAGGTGTTTTTTTATTAAAAAAAAATAGAGTTAACAGACTATTTTTATAATTTGTATAGATTTTGAATAAAATAAAAGAATTCAAGGGCTATTTCTGTAAACTTATATTCACTATTCAACAAATTCAATCTAAGTTGGATGGTTTCTAAATAGAAAGTAAAACTATAAGGGCTATTTGTGTAATTTATATTCAAAGCAATTCAAAGATCCTAGTCAAGGCAAGATAAGAACCTCATATTTAGTAGTAATTGAGCGGCTTGTATGGCTTGTACAACATGCATCATAAACTATACTAACAAAAGAGAAGTTGATATTTGTATATATTTATAATTTGTCATATTTTTATTATAAACTAGTTACTGTATTTGTTAAAAATAAAAAAATATTATGTTGATATAATTGTATACTATAAATAAATATAAACATCAATTAGTCTATTTTTCCTACTAACTTGTTTAAAAAGCTATGCAAAACGCAGAAAATGTTTTATAATATCTAACCAAGGGAACATGATGAATATATTATATAGCATAGTATTTGTAATTTCACCAACATGTGTTATTCTTTGCTAGTCACACGTGGTTTCACGAAGGAAATGTGGTTCCGCAAGAAAACGTGATTTCCGAAAAACCTATATGTGTGTATTTTTTGTAGCTAATTACCATCCAAGTATTATACTTTGAGATCATAATAATTAGTTTTAAATATAATTATTTGGATTATATGGTTAAATTAGTTGTTAAATACCAATTCTGGATGATCAGTGTAACAAAATAACTATAAAAACGGTGAAATAAATAACCTCATTTAAGAGACGCTATCATTTTCTTACAAGAAAATGTTCATAATGGTCTTAATTCGTGTCTATTAGTTTTTCTTATATACTGAAAATTTAAGTTTAAATTCATATAACATGCCACCACTTTTATTATAGAGTTTGCGACATTATTGATGTAACACCTTCCTGAACATCATAATCTCAGTTTCCTATAAAAGCTATACCAAAATATCAGTTTTTTATTTTTGTTTCAGGAAATGTCAAAAATGGACAACAATATGCCAATATTTGGAATGGCTCGCAAGTCCGCATGCAAGTCCAAGTAATGGGGCTCCTTGTAATTATAAATATTCTATTAAAATAAGACAAACATTAATGGAAATAAAATATTTGATTTCGTTTTCATTTAAAATTTTACATTTTCTTTGAGTTGTTTAAAAAGCTTTAAGGTTGTTAAAAAATGAAAATTTAATAGAAATTATTCACTAATTTATTGCAATATATTAATATTAATGAGATCCACTTATAATAATTATTATTTTTATAGAAGGAACAAATAGATTATTATTAGCCACCATGATTTTATGTTTCAGATTTGACCGTAAACTTTAATTTTTAATAATTTAGCCACTATTGTTAGCTCTAGTCCAAATAGTGAGATGGGATGGGATGGGATGCTTGATATTCATTTTTTCTTTTGTGTGTAATTTGACAAATTAAGATATATGAAGGCGTTTTATGTAAAGAAGTTCGAAACTTGGTTCCTCATCTCTTTCTATTCGTTAACATATACTTACAAGATGGACCCACTTGTCATTGTTATTGCCATTGCTATTGTTTTTTTCTAGAATTCAATATCAACTTCTATAACGTCTCTTTTACCTCATCAATACTATTTTCATTCGGGAGAGAAACTAATCTTCATCAAATGACTTTGTAAAAAAAAGTGTTATGACCAAACAAAAGATATTTAAATTTCTTTTTTCTTTTATTGAACTTCAAAGTAGTATTCCCCATTGAATGGAGCCACCCACTCTACCTTTCCTTTTAAGGTAATGGTTTCACCACTTTGTTTGCATGGATCAAGGTGTCATTTTATCAGGATCGGGTGAAAACATTGTCTGACTTTTTTTTTAGAATCAACTACATAATCAAAGGTTTTAAGACTAATACCATTAATTTGTGATTTGTGATTGTAATTCATAATTTCATGAGTATAACATCTAGATTTTTGGAAAAATAAGATTTTAAATGTATTTAGTAATGTTGAGGGTCGGAACGTACTTGTCCGGAAAGATTGATTTCATAATTGTGCGCCGGGTTTAAAAAAAATAATAAGATTTTAACATGTATTTAGTAATATTGAGTCTGAAAAGTAATTGTGAGTACAGATTATGGTTGCATTTGGAAGTTTGCTAACGAGCTATTATTTGGACCAAAAGTGGCCAGTGTCCAGTTCGAGAAGAATAAAACTGCAGTGACCATGAGTTCTAATAACAAAAACTATGGTGGCCAAAATGTAAAATCCAAAACTAGTCAGCATCTGTCAAAAAGGGTCCATGTCTATGGAGTATTTCATTCATATTTTCAACAAACCCACACTCCTCTTGCTGCTTATCAACTCCAGTCAACAATGGGGGGTTCCATCCAAACCTCCATATAAATAAGCTCGACATCCACTGCATAGCATCCTGTGAAGCGCCATATTCATTCGCCAAACCTCTAATCCCCTCCCAATTTCTATAGCCTTCGGATCTTTGATTCATAATTTTCTCTGATTCATAATTGAAATTGAAAGGAAAACGATCGCAGAAGATGGGAGGTGAAGCGGAGAAATGGGTGTTGATGGTGACAGCGAGAACGCCGACGAACATAGCGGTGATCAAGTACTGGGGGAAGAGAGATGAAACATTGATATTACCGATCAACGATAGCATCAGTGTCACTCTCGATCCAAGTCACCTTTGTACCACAACCACCGTCTCTGTCAGCCCTAGCTTTGATCAAGATCGCATGTGGCTTAACGGCAAGGTATTCACCTTCTTCTGCTTCTACTTTACTCTGCATCATCTTATTAGTTTTTCGTTATTCAGTTTGAGTAGCTATATCCTACCATTGGCTATAAAGTTAGAGATAACTGTTGCTTTTTTATTTGTAAGTTATAATTGATCAATTAATCATCCAGCGTTCTGATTCATGGCATATTCTCTCTCTCTCTCTCTCTCTCTCTCTCTCTCTCTCGTGTAGGAGATATCTCTTCAAGGAGGTAGATTCCAGAGTTGTTTAAGAGAAATCCGTGCTCGTGCTCAAGATGTAGAGGACAAGAAGAAAGGTATCAAAATCAACAAAGAGGATTGGCAAAAACTTAATCTGCACATTGCTTCATACAACAATTTCCCAACAGCCGCAGGTTTGGCTTCCTCAGCAGCTGGTCTTGCTTGCCTAGGTACAATTTCTATCTTCTGAACAACTTGAGTTACCATTATTCTAGTGAAGCAAGAAACTTACAATTACAAATGAGTAATTAAATGTGCAGTTTTTTCCCTTGCGAAGCTGATGAATCTGAAAGAAGATAACAGTCAACTTTCTGCCATTGCTAGGTAGGTACTAGTTGTTATATGAATCTGAATTCTGAAAGAAGATAACAACTTATAAATTATTATGTATGTGAGTGCACTGCAGGCAAGGTTCAGGTAGTGCTTGTCGCAGTTTATATGGTGGATTTGTCAAGTGGTTTATGGGAAAAGTAGGTTTTGATATTTGTAATCTTTTATTTAGCTTTTTGTATCAAGTATCATCATTAATGTGATTAAACCAAATGTTATGTTGTGTATGGATTGTAGGAAGAAAATGGCAGTGACAGCCTTGCTGTTCAACTTGCAGATGAGAAGCATTGGGACGAACTTGTAATTATCATTGCTGTGGTATGTTCTTTTTCTTTCCCTGTTCTCACATAAAATACATAACTGCCCTTTAGTTGAGTTGCTGGATCTCTTAATATATATATATATATATATATATATATATATATATATATATATATATGTATATATGTATATATGTATATATGTGTGTGTGTGTGTGTGTGTGTGTTTGTTCTAAAGTTGAGGTTGGTGTTGCTGTTTATAGGTAAGTGCACGACAGAAGGAAACCAGTAGCACTTCAGGAATGCGTGACACTGTTGAAACAAGCCCACTTATTGAACATAGAGCCAAGGTTGATTCATTATATTAATAATTTATGCATTTGGTGTCGTGTCTCTTAAGTTGTATAAATATGTTTAAGCTTCCTTGTTTTATTGGTGACAGGAAGTTGTGCCAAAACGTATAACTGAAATGGAAGGTGCGATACAAAACCGGGATTTCGCGACTTTTGCACGTTTAGCTTGTACAGACAGCAATCAGTTCCATGCAGTTTGCCTTGACACATACCCTCCTATTTTCTATATGAATGACACATCCCATAGGCAAGTTTTATATATACTATATATTAATTGGTGATTAGCTCCACATTACAAGAATATCATAACTTAACAATTATATGGTATGGTGATTTTATTTCAGAATAATCAGCTGTGTTGAGAAATGGAATCGTGCAGAAGAAACACCTCAGGTCTGTATTGTATTCTATTCCCAATCCCATTAAGAAATTATGAACTCATGAGAAGTAACTGACTAGACTGCATGTTGAAACTTGATTACCCTTTTTTTTATTTTTGGTGTGTGGACTGACTTTAAGATGGACCAATCATCTGCAGGTGGCATACACCTTTGATGCAGGGCCGAATGCGGTTATGATTGCACGCAACAGGAAAACTGCTGCTCTTCTACTCCAGAGGCTGCTTTATAACTTCCCTCCTCAATCGGATACTGATTTGGACAGGTATACTATTTTTGATTTTTCTCCCAAAATGAAAAATGTTTTTGACTGTTGGTATATATATATATATATATATATATATATATATATATATATATATCTGTAATAATTGTAAGTCTGATTTTTATTTGTTTTGACTTGATACTAGCTACATAATTGGGGACAAGTCGATTCTACAAGATGCTGGGATTAAGGATATGAAGGATGTTGAAGCTTTGACTGCTCCCCCAGAAGTCAAAGACAAAATTCCGACCCAGAAATCCAAGGGAGATGTTAGTTACTTCATCTGCACAAGACCTGGTGGTGGTCCGGTTGTGCTGTCGGATGAAACTCATGCTCTTCTTGACCCACTCACTGGCTTGCCCAAGTAACAAACAAGTGAATTCATTGTTGACCTGTTTATTTCCTTGTATTCTCTCCATTTTCTTTATGTTTTTTTTTTTTGTTTTTTTTTTTCTGGAGTTGGAGCATGTTAGAATGAGAAGTACCTAAAAAGAATTTAGGATTATGTACCCACGATATGCTCAATAAATTGATCTTTTTTTTCAGCAAACCAAAGCTAATTACTGCATGGATTCATTTGCATTAAAATTGTTTAAGGGATTTAATAATAAACTCAAAGATATATATGCATGCACAGATGCACAAGTATGTATTTCATGTGTTTCCTTCCTTCCAGCTATATATATTTACTAGTAGAAAGAACAGCATAGGATACCCACTGAAAATGATCTTGGTTACTGGTCTTGTTTACAGCTAGGTATTGGCAAGCGACTGATCTTTTTTGTTCCAAAAGGTTATGAGAAAAGAGTCTATGATGATCTATAAACCAAAACGTTTAGTTTTAATATACTTGGGTATAAAAAGAAAATTAGCAATTTAAAAGCTTTTGAAATGCATATGGTATATGGTGAAGGGTGAACCTGGTTTAAATGTGCTGCGACACAGGGGATGATTAGTAATCCTGGTTCACCAAATGTTCCACCAAGTTGATCCACCACCGCAACCAGCACTGGCAAAGCTTTCTACAAAGATCTCACGCTCACACCAGATAAGATTATAAGGATAATATCTCCAACGCCAAAAAATAGGTTCTACAATAAACAGGACAGTTAGTTGGTGGATAATTTGTTACCTGACTTGTGATAAGTAAGAGGGCAGTAGCATTTTTCTTTTTTGCAAAGATTGATTTGCTACCACCAGATACAGCACATAGGCAACGAATTGATGTGGCATTGAAACCTAATAGTATCAGGTGCAGCAACCTGCAGTATATATATATATATATATATATATATATATATATATATATTAACATATTCAAATTAGTTGATACCTTCATCTTCAATTTGTGTTGGTTGTTTAATGAAATAACAAAATATCATCTCAACAATGTATGTAATTCGGAAGAAAGAACATACGCTCCCATCATGACAGCTACAAGAAAAGCTTCAGGCTTAACCATCACAAGTAGAGGCCTTGATCTGCTCACTTGTATCCAAGGGACCTTAATAATAACATTATAATACATTGTCAGTCAAACACAAAATTCATATTCAAATTTGATAAGATCAACTATGATGTAGAACACTAGAAATGAAAATTTTATAAGAAATAAGGACAGAGTTTATTCTTACCAAACTAAGTAATATTACACTTAGTACAGATAAGAGCTGATTGTTATTATCAACAAATTCTGCCAGGCCTGCAATGCACAAAAACTTGGAGAATTAACAATTTGGTTAGTTAAGTTAAGTTGTAGCATATGCAACAACAATTTGACACATTGTTTGAGTTGGAGATATAAAGTTTAGGTCAAAATCTGACACTAGTCAAATGTGCTATGGAACTCCACTCCAGAATAACAAGTTTTCAGTTTTAGACCATACTATGTTCTATGGTTCCAGTTCTTAAATCAGAATATCCCGACAACTTGTAAATTATATAGATTATAGAGAAAGAAATATCACCTTTAAAGGATTCCCGAAAAGCCTGTCAAACGAAACCAACAATTACTTTTTTAATCGCAAGATTTGTGAAACACCATGTAACAAATGCAATCCTCATTCTTTGGATGGGAAGCAAAAAGTAAAAGAACAAATAAGAAGCATAGGGTAAGGTGACCATCAATCCCTGATTCTGAAATCTTTATGTTGTTGAGATGTATGATGTATATAGTTTGAGAAGCATCACAAAATTTTCTCGTTTTTAGCAGATGCCCTAGTTTCATATGTGGGGAAAATTGCTTTGGTTCTAAGAAAAGGCATGATATTTACACAGAATGACTAAAAACTATGGGCCTTAAAAAAGTGACAATAAAAGGTGTTACCTTCCCCAAAATCAAGGGTATCAAAAGTGTGACTATAAGTCTTCTGAACAATTGCTCAGTTGGAACAGATGCCCCAAGTCCAGAAGCTATTAGTTTTGATATAGAAAAAGGCACCTGCAAAAATGCAGCCACCCAAAATTATTTCCCTAATATTCAAGATTAATGAAGACAAGAATCACTTCTAAAAGTAGTCAACTTTTGTTGGTAAATGTTTTTAGAGAAGCAAGTAACATCAAGTGTAGATATTTAAGTACTTTGTCAATTTTCTTGTTCTTGATTTGTAAACACCAAAGTTCAAACCAGTTGATGAAAGTTAAATGCACCCAAATAATACAGCATGGGATGCAACAAGGTCATGGCTTTGGAACTTACCATCATAATTGCCAACAAACTGGATGCTACAGTCATAGCAAGAGCCAATGCACAATTTCCTCCAGCAAGCTGCAATTCAGCAATTCGTATCTTGGTTCACAATCAATATTTCTCAGTTTCACAATCATGCATAAAAAAATAGTAATTGGATGAACTTTACAATAACATCAACGGACCCGGGTTAGAGCAACTCCACTTGATAATGTTGTAGGCATACAGCTAAAAAGAGCTAGTCCTGTAAGAAAAGGAAAAAAAATCAGATTACTGAATCTAATAGTAAAAGAAAAAGATTAAAAGATATACAAAGAGTTGATTGATGTGAGAAAAAGAATACAATTATGTCTGAAGCCACACGGCCCACACCTGTAACAAATTCTTGAGGTTGGAAGTGAAGTTGCAGGATTATTTTGGAAAGGAGAGGAGTAAACAATAAAATTGAAGCCTACACTGACGATAATGGAAGAGTGTGAAAACATTTATTTGTAGGACGAAATGATTAGAGGATTTTAAGTGAAACTTGATCAGATCTAGCGGAAAGATTACAAAACAATTATTGAGATTGAATAGTAATTAAATCCACAGATTGATTATTGTTATTAAGAAGCTTCTGATTAATAAGTGTCCTCCATTCTGTTAAAAGGAGCAGCAAGAGAAAAAAGGAAAAATGTGAAGAATGAACCTACGAAAATTACAATGGTGCTTAAATAATATGAATTCATACTAGCCCAAAGAGTCCAACTGGCCATGCTTCAGCAGCTGCACCAATATCTTCACTACGCAATCTCAATCCTGTATCATGAAAAAACAGAGAATAAGTAGCTGATAAAAGTAAAGTTAACACTTAACACCAGCTAATACTCTTAACTTCTTGCCTGATATGAAAAATATCCCAAAAGTGCTAACTATAGATAATTGATATCTATGGGCGAGACAACCAGGACCAGGATTTGCAAGGCCCAATGCTACTCCTCCAATAAGAGCTGCACAGCATAAAAAAAAACCTACTCTTAGTAGTTATTAGTTAATGCTGGCTGAAAAGAAAGATAAATAACATAACCAGGTAACTTAATTGCATATTTTTTTATCTATGGAATACTTTACTAACGTCACTTAAGATCAGATCCGATTGCATGAAAGAAAATAACATTACATTACCCAATGGAAGAATATTGCTAGAAGCGAAACTCAGTAAAGGTTCTGCTAGGACCGGAAAGCTCAAGAAACCAGACTTTCGTGGAGATTCATTTGGAATCGGACCTCCATTTCCCTCAACCTGAAACCACACTACTACCACTCTTAAGTTCAAACGAAGAGGCAACCAATTCAAAATTCCACACCAAATCAGGTTGCGTTTGTAACAACTAATCCAATGAAATCAAAGAGCATGATGAAAAGGGAAGAACCTGATCGGAATTTGCGTGGTTTCTGATGATGAGTGTTCTTCTAACTGAACGGACCTTTCGAGATATCAACGAGTTATTAATAGCATCGAATGACCGATTATTGGACTGTGAGTTCCGCGATCGGAGATGAGCGGTTACGGTTACTGGAGAAATGAGATTCGTTAGGGTTTTAAGTGTTCCCGCCATCTGCTTCAAAGTGGGGAATGCAACCTCACACTCGCAGCCTCACATTCGCACTTGGTTGTGTGTTGAAATTGGCAGTTATTCTCAAAAGATTTACATGTTATTTCCATGTTAAACCCCTGTATTATTGTATATTTACAAACTCATCCCTACATTTCCCTCTCTTGAAAAAAAAAAGGTATTGGTTTATTGCTATCATAACGAGTCTAATAAATCAGAAGTGACAGTTTGCTTATGGAGAGACAATAAAGAAAAGTAAATTACATTTTGGGTCGAGTATAGTTGGTATTTTTATTTTTGGTCTCAGAATGTTATTTTTTATAAATTTAATCATTTTGTAGGGGTTTTTTGGTAACGTTTGGGTGGGTGTTCATAGAGAGTGTTATTAGCTACGTCACTCTCTGACTCTTGGTAACTTATCTTAAAACGATATTGACATGTAAATTCCCTTCAGGGACTCGGAGACTTCGTTGAATCTTTCATCAATGGCAGCCATCGCTCGATTCCATATCCTCCAACAGTCGTCTTCAGTTCTGAAACCCACTGCAATCTCATCCAAATATCCTCATCAATCTTCTTCGCCGCCCTTCTATTGTAACCCTAATTTCTTTCGAAACAACAGCCATATACGCAAGCTTCATTTCACTCCATCACTCTGCGCCAATTCGAGCCCGAATCCTGAGGTCTCCTCTCTAGAATCATAACCTTACATCTACATCTCTATATGATGTTTCTATATGATGATGTATATGTCTGCGCCCATTCACGTTTTTGTTTTTCAAATTGACAGTTGGAGGTCAAAAGTGCAATTTTTATTATTTTGTAGTTCATTCTGATGTAGGAGTGTTTCTGTGCAGAATTCCTCTGCCAGCGGACCAAGTGGTTCAATAGTTGGTGATCTTCTGGATTATCTCAACGAGTCTTGGACTCAGTTTCATGCCACAGGTATGCAAATATAATGCTGTTGCTTGACATTGTGTCACATACATAGTTTTACTTGCAACTGTATGTGAAAATGATTGCTAAGAACTTGACAGTGATTCCAGGTTTATGTGTTACTGTTTAGAAAAGGTTCTACTATATCATTATCTTATTTATCTCCATCTGAATCTATAGCTGAAGCAAAACGACAATTAGTTGCTGCTGGATTTCATCTTCTCAGTGAGAATGATGAATGGGAGCTTAAACCTGGTGGACGTTATATCTTCACTCGCAATATGTCCTGTCTGGTTGCTTTTGCTATTGGAGAAAAGTGAGTCACCATAATCTTGTTTCAATATCACATCTTCACTTTGCTGTGTTAACATTTTGATTATTTAATGCTCCAAATCAGTAGTTTTTCAGGTACTCTGTTGGCAATGGTTTTCACGTAATTGCTGCACACACAGATAGCCCTTGTCTGAAACTAAAACCGAAGTCTGCATTGTCCAAATCCAATTATCTTATGGTGAATGTACAAACTTATGGTGGTGGATTATGGCATACTTGGTTTGACAGAGATTTAAGTGTAGCTGGAAGGGTCATAGTCAGAAATGGTGATGGCTCCTTTCTACACAAACTAGTCAAAGTCAAAAGGCCTCTGTTACGTGTCCCTACTCTTGCTATCCATCTTGACCGGTTTGTTTCCTATTAATGGTTGAGATCATTGTATGTATTAATTATTATACAACTGTTTTATAGTTTTTATTATCTGAATTTTCATCTATTGTTTTGGTTATATATAGTACTGTGAACAAGGATGGTTTCAAGCCAAACTTGGAGACTCACCTCAACCCCTTGTTGGCAACAAAACACGACGATGCTTCTGTTGACATAAAAGACAAAAATAATAAAGATTCTCATCATCCTCTACTTATGCAGGTAATCTTTAAAAAATCATGTTTTTTTTCTTTTGTATCATCCATGACATTCTTTTCGTATTTCTTAATTTTAGATTCTATCAGATGAATTGGGATGTGAAATTGATGACATAGCAAGCATTGAGCTGAACATTTGTGATACACAACCTAGCTGCCTTGGAGGTGCAAACAACGAGTTCATATTTTCTGGAAGATTAGATAATCTTGCTTCAAGTTTTTGTGCACTTAAAGCTCTTGTTGACTCATCTGGACCGAAAGATCTATCAGATGAACACGCAATTAGAATGGTTGCACTTTTTGATAATGAAGAGGTACTTAAAATTCTGAAATGTGACATTTTATATCAGTTTAATGCAAATATATTATACACCAATGATTTCTGTTATATAATATTGTGTATATAGGTTGGTTCCGAGTCAATGCAAGGTGCTGGAGCACCAACAATGTTTCAAGCTATGAGGCGGATAATTGATTGTTTGGCTAATCAGTGTGTCAGGGAGGGTGTCTTTGAGCGTGCAATTCGTCAATCGTTTCTTGGTTTGTATAAGTTGTGAAAGCTTTTGTGTCAATATAATTTTTACATTTCTTTAAAAGATTTTGGTTTATGTTGTTGAAGTTTCTGCTGACATGGCTCATGGAGTTCACCCTAATTTTATGGAAAAGCATGAAGAACACCATCGCCCAGAATTGCACAAAGGTCTTGTGATAAAGCACAATGCAAACCAACGATATGCTACAAGTGGAATTACAGCTTTTCTTTTTAAAGAAGTTGCTAAAATCCATAGCCTTCCAACTCAGGTGAGACTGTGTTTTGTAAATTTAGTGTGATTAATGTTTTTTTTATATTATTTGCTAATAAAAGGGTTTTATTTGATTTTATAATATGCAGGATTTTGTGGTAAGAAATGATATGGGATGTGGGTCGACTATTGGTCCTATACTTGCTTCTGGAATTGGTATCCGAACAGTTGATTGTGGCATTCCTCAGCTTTCCATGCACAGGTGTTAAATTTGGTTTATTTTTTTATTGGAATTTCTCGCTCTTTTTTTTTTTAATCTTTTTTTATAAAAAAATTGCAGTGTAAGAGAGATATGCGGAAAGGAAGACATAGATATTGCCTACAACCATTTCAAGGCATTTTACCAAACATTCTCAAGTGTAGACCGAAAATTGAATGTGGACTAATTATAATTAGTAAGACATTTCTACATTCTTTTAATAGTCAGTTGAACTGTATTTTTTTCAATTTGGAGAGTAAACATTAAGTTTTGGATTTGATGATAAATTTAAAATTCCTGATGGGATGTATGGTATGGTATGGTATGGTATGGTATGTATGGCACATGAAACATGAAGAAATACATATAATTTTTTTGATTCTCTAATCCAGTCCTTTGGTTTTAGTGGATTTGTTCTTCTCGTTTTGTGAACTGGAAGAACCGAGTTGGAGGTCGAGTTGAGGTTTTTGAGTGCAGTTAGGATCACTGAGTTTCTGTTTCAACTCAGTCAGTAGGGCTCGATTCTCCTTGTCCAGCTGTTGAGCTCTCTTTCTTAACTTCTCGTTCTCTTGAATGATTCTGCAGTTTCTCAGATACAACTCCGAGTTTAACTTTTCCATCTCTGTAGCCTTTCTTCTCCCCCCCTAAAAAACCAAGCTCAATCATGTGTATCAAATGTCTAAAGTACCCTTTAAAAGATGTGGCGGAATGTTTTTTCTCTTTTCTCTTTAAAATGACATTACAAATCTGGCAAGCGTCTAGATTGTGCAAAAAAGAAAAAAAGATCTAAAACTCGTATAATAATCACAGAACATGTATAATAATATGATTTTTGTGTGGATTACCTGTGTGTGTATGTGAGCCTTGTATAGGTGGTGGTGGCTGGAGGGGTGTTTATGGAAGAAAAATTAATGGGGTGGTTTGTATATATATAGATGCATAAAGTATAAGTTAGGGGGTTAAGAGATAAAACGAAGAAAAAAAGCATGAAGGGTCACATGAAACATACATTAAGTCTTTATGTGGAAAGCAACTTTCTTTCTTAAAAAAAAACATCCTTCTTTGCTAACTGTCCATGAAAAATGGAACTTCCTTTTATCAAAAGACATCTGAAATTCCGAATGACAAGATAAATATGTGATTTTTTAACATCTACCCTAAGGCACATATAAAAATCATTATTATGGGAATATTTCCATTGAAAAATGTATATGGAATATTTCCCAATGGAAAATGTGAAAATGCATTAATTATGGAAATTATTTATTAGAATTAATGCATTTTACATTTTCTAATGGAAACATTCTTCTTAATTAATGCTCCTTATGTATACTCTTAAAGCAAGTGTTAGAAAATCTCTTTAAATAGCAAACAAATTATGATTTGAGTCAAAATCAATATGGGTATATTATTATTAGTAAGTCCAACTTATGATTATACTAACGAAGGAAATATTGTATTTTGGCTTGAACAAAGTGAGAATTATGCTAATTCATTTTTGTCTTAAAAAAGTTATGCATTTTATATGTTTGCAAATATTATTATTTTAAATGATCGGTTATTTGTTAAACACAAGTTGTAACTAAAATAACAGAATTTGAAAGAGGGATAAAAGTTGAGGTAGACGTGTATGTTGTTTGTTTGTTTGTCATGATTGATTATGGAAGAAAAGGCTATTCTTAAGGGAGCTTTTTTGTGGGTAGATCAAAAGAGCAATTTAATTGGAATGATAAAACATGTTTTTAATGATTTCACAACTTATTAGTGCATACAACTGATGATCGTTTGTTTCATGTATCATATTTATTGATTTCTCTGACTTATATAAACCTTATTTTGTTATTAATATTAGTTTTTTTTATAAAACAAACTGTTTATATTTTGTATAATTTTAAAAATAGTAAAAAGGGGATGTAAATTGAAAACATTTTATATATATATATATATATATATATATATATATATATATATATATATATATATATATATAGTTTGCATAAACTAGTTTTTAGTTGTATTAAGTTGAAATGTTGATGGAGTTATCTAAGGGCCTTATTGTTCTTGAAGAAATTGTTAGCGTCCTACACAAAGAATTTCTAAACTCAGTCACTTTGTTAAAGCTAGACGCACTCTCTTTTAGTTTTGGGGATATAACTGAAATTGGATAGCGTGTGAGATTTTTGTAACCGTT